AGGAGGAGGAGAAGGAAGAGGAGGAGGAGAAGGAAGAGGAGGAGGAGAAGGAAACAGATAAAAAATCATTCGAAAATACTGAAAAATACAGAAATTATTCTTGCCTTTCATAAATTTGTATGTAAAAATAATTTCACTGTTGATAATGCATAAAGCGGAATTAATTAACTTATTAGCGCAAAAGTATTTTATCATCCTTTCAATAAAATCATCATACTATTAGTAAATGCTGCTTTTGCTATGCATATATAGGTGTGTGTGTGTGTGTGTGTGTGTCCGTCCGTCTGTCTGTCTGTCTGTCTGTCTGTCTATCTCGAGAGTAATGTTTTTCTTGGGACTTTTCACATATTTAAGCTAATTTCCGGTTGTACTTTGCAAAATGAAAGTCAGCAATGGTGAAGGTGATGCTGTTGTTCTCGAGAGATTTGAAACGGAAGGAAATATTTCTTATCATCGAATGAAAGAGAGAGGAGGAAAAGAAGAGAGAGGAAGAGAGAGGAAGAGAGAGAGAGAGGGAGAGAGAGAGAGAGAGGAAAAAGAAAGAAGTGTAAAAATGTAATTTGGCGGAAATGTATGTTTGCCTGATGATGATGATGATGATGATGATGCTGATGATGATGATGATGATGATGATAATGATGGCACAGACCGGTACGAACTTTATTTCTAACAGACAGGCGACACATCCGTCCTTTCAAATACATTACACACATTGGCCAAACATAAAAATCCTTTGGCGTTATGCCAGTAATTCCTTCTTTTTTTTGCAAAAGCTGGCAACATAGTGATGATGAAGAGGGACCATTAAAGAAGAAAAAGAAGAAGAAGAAAGAAGAAAGAAACTCCGCAAAGGTTGAATGAATTAGAAGATGGTAGGGGGAGGGGGGGTGGGGGAGAGGAATATTTGATACTTTTAGCATTCGGGAGTGACAAAAATGACAAGGAGGGCAAGGGAGCAAATGACCTCTAATTGAACTATGTCCTTTATTTTGTTCTTTCATTAATTTTTCCCTTCAACAATAATACAAATTTTTCATGAGGGAATGGCTAATTTTTTTTTTTTCTGCTACTGATGAACATTGAAATATTCTAAGTTTAAAAGTTAAAATTTTTCAAAAAAAAAAAAAAAGCATAGGATCTATCGGACGAGATTTTGGATATATTGTTGGAAATATTCAATTGACAAAAAATTTGTCAATTCATATCAATCAATCGGATAAAATCAATAACAGCAAAAGAAACTAGCCAGAAAAATTGACATCAATTTTTAGGTCAAATATTCACTTCTAATCCTATCTTCTTCCCATATCTATTAATTGCGTAATAATTTTTTGATTTTTTTTTTTTTTAATTTTCAAATTTACTGCAGGAAATTTTCTTTTTTTTTTGATGTAAAGTCAAAAAAAAAATGCATTTGCGCAAAGATAAATGAATAATTATACATTTAAGAACAGTAATTGTTATTTGATAGGATGCATACTTAAGTGTGGAAGAATTAGTACATGTTGTCTTTTGGCTCGTTTGTAGAAGAGAGAAAAGGTCAATGATTGGCTATGAATGAATGAATGGACCTTGGCCTTATGCCAACTTTCTCCGTTTTATGGTTGTATGAAATTCGTCAATAAAGAGACTGTCTTATTTATATGTGTGTGTATGTGTGTGTGTGTGTGTGTGTGTGTG